TGCTAGCAGAAAAACACAGAGCCTGTCTGGTGAGGGCGCATGGCCAGGTGCTCAGCACCCGTGGATCACTCTGATGCATCTGGAGCTGGTCCTGTGGGGCACAGAGCCAGGGAGGGTCCTCGAAGCTGGGTGGACAGTGCCACACCCATCGAGGTTTGGGCTGAACACTTCTCTTGGAGCTATGTGAGTGATGTGCACAAGGATCTAAGACCCAAGGAAGATAAACGAATGAGGGCATCCTAGGAGACTTTGGACCATGTTTAAAGGGCTGTTAAGATAATTACTGAATGGTTTGTTTTCATTCACATCAGACAGAAGTCAGAATAATAAGAATCATGAGGTTTTACAAGTTCATATCAGGAAAAGCCTAGTGAGCATTGCAAGTGAAAGATTATAATAAAATATCATTTTACTTTTTTTTTTCCCGCACAAAGTAGTCATGCCAGTTCTTTGCAGAATCATTTTGCATGGAGCCAGAAATCGTTCATTGCAGGAGTGGCCTTTCTGCCGAGCGGTTTTCATATTCCAAACATACATATGTTTCGCAGTGTCTAATTATTCTTGGGGACAATTACTGTCAGGTTCCCAAATGTGTTCAATGAGCAGCAATTGGTGTTTATTCAGCTCTAAAAAGACTGTGCAAGGGAACAGTAGGTTATATTGTCTGCCTAAAGGAACGGTTTGCCATCCGGAAACATCTGCTTTCTATTTAAAGCACTGAAGAAGGAATGGGAGTATATTTCACATATACCCCCTAAGCATCAAACACCAAAGAAAGGAGAATAAAATTGGGTATGAAGGTAGTTTCTGTTCTCTGATAGACACTCTTCGGCATTTCCCTGCTGGGAAGGAAAGGTGGCCTCCTGGCATGGACAGTTGTGTTTCCTTTGAGTTTTTCTATTTATACTGATTTGCACACTTACAGGAACTGACTTCTGTGTCCTAGTTTCAGCTCTTACTTTCTCCGGTAGGGCATGGTGCTCTTTCAGAGTTGGGGTCTGCTTTTCTGGATTTTGTGGTGAGGTTTGTACTCTGATTTTGCCCATTAAGGTGTAAAGGTTTGCTGTCCATGTTACCTGAAATCATCCTGCAACTCTCAATTTCATTTTTTTTTTTCTTTTAAGTATTTATTTGACTTTATTGGGTCTTAGTTGTGGCCTGTGGGATCTAGTTCAGTGACCAGGGATAAAACCCAGGTTGCCTGCAGTAGGAACACAGAGTCTTAGCCACTGGACCTCCAGGGAAGTCCCTACCTTCACTTTTCTATGTAGAGAATGTTACCCAATCACAGCTCTGTCCAAAGGGTTGAATGAGAACATATATGTTGTATATGTATACCAGCTAAATATTAACTGACTTTTCTTTCCATCCGGTCTTTTTCTTCCTTTTCTTTAAATACCATTAGATTTTTTCTTATACTTTAAAAAATATATAACTTTTATTTATTTATTTATTTGTCTGTGCCAGGTCTTAGTTGAGGCATGTGGGATCTAGCTCCCTGACCAGGGATAGAACCTGGGTCCCCTGCATTGGCAGCACAGAGTCTTAGCCACTGGACCACCAGGGAAGTCCCTAAATACCATTAGTTTTTTTTTTAATTTTAGAAAAAATAAAACAGAACTCCCCCAGCAGCCAAGGACTTGGTTATTCATGTAGAAATCCCAGTACTGTGGGTAGTTTCCTGGGCTCAAAGCTGCGCCACACTGGCCCTGTCTAGCCCAGGTCCCCAGGCCCGAGATCGCAGGTCTTTGAAGAGCCGTGGCAACTCCTGTGGGGCCCACCCTCAGAATAGATAGGGTCAGTGGGTCTCCCTGCAGCTCCCTTCCTGGGCCACCATGCTCCCTCTGCACCGGAACAGAGCTTCCCCGGCAGAGGCCTGACCACCGTGGAGACCAGGGCTGCAGCCGCTGAGGGTGTGGCCAGCTGAGCCCACCCACCGGGCCCTCCCAACGCCCCTGCATCTCTGGTTGGTTGTTGTTCAGTCACTCTCAGAAGGTCACAGCTTGACCAGCAGAGGCTGCCCTCTGTCCTGACGAGAGCACCTCTGCCTCTCCATGCCCCTCCCCCATCCTTTGCAACCAGAGATCCTGTTCTTGCCCCTCTGTTGTCCTCTTCAAGCTGTGGGAGGGTTTCAGAGTTGTTTTTGTCATTCTGGAGGAGAGGTGCTGGCTGTAGTGGCCACTTCTACCATTGTTTCTAGATCATCTGATAATGCCTACTGCAAGCTTCCTAAGGATAAAAATCACCTGGAGCTTTTGTTAAAAAATAGAGCTGGGACTTCCCTGGTTATCCAGTGGTTAAGAATCTGCCTTCCAATGCAGGGAACGTGGGTTCAATCCCTGATCTAGGAAGATGCCACATGCCATGGGGCACCTAAGCCTGTGCTCCACCACAACCACTGATCCCTGACTCTAGATAGAGCCCGTGCTCCACAACAAGAGAAACCACCACAACGAGAAGCCCATGCATGGAAACTGGAGAGTAGCCCCTGCTCGCTGCAACTTGAGAAAGCCCATGTGCAGCAACAAAGACCCACAACCAAAAATTAATTAATTTAAAAGATAGAACTATGAAGGCCCCTTCCCTGCACAGCAAGGTTCCTATGGGGCTAAGTTGGGGCCCAGGAACTTGTATTTTTACTGAGTGCCACAGCTAATTCCTATCAGAGATTTAGGAAACACTAATCTAAGGGTGCTAAACCCAGACCCAATCCATCTTCCCTAGTGTGGAGGACACAAGGGAAAGCCTGACCCCCTCCCCTGGGAGGGCCCCTGCCTGACGGTGGGTCCCTGCCCAGCTTGTTAGTGCTGTATGTAGAGGAAGCAGAGATGTTAGCTTAATTCTCTTTTTTAAATTGAGGTATAATTGGCATGTAACATTGTTAGTTTCAGTAGACAACAACGATTTGGTATTTGTATACCTTTCGTAATTCAATCCTTTTAAAAAGATTTTCTGTATTCCTGCCCTTTCAGTCGCTCCCTCTTCTTAAACATACAGAAGAACTCCAGGTAAGCAAGTGTTTTCCTTTCTGGTGTTGTACTTGGATGGTTAGCAAAACATGGCACCGAGTGTACAGATGCAAGGCTTTCCCGTGTGGATTGATTAGGCGGGCTGGTATTCACGGGCACACACATGCTCCCCAACGACTGGTCCCCCTCTCAACAACAGATGCAGAACACTATAGTGAGAATATTCCTTTGTTTCCACAGCTGTCATCCTGTGGACAGAAGCGTGTCAGTTTGGGACTGAGTGGGTGGGTGAACCTGGTCACTGTGGCAGGAAGACAGAGTGTGGAAGACAAGCGTCCTTATGATCCACACCCCAGAGGCTCTTAACCTGTTCCTGGGACCTACAGGGGAAGGTTTCAGGGGGCTAGGAGTACTGAGCGCTGTCCCTTCTGGAAAGCTGAACTCTAGAAACAGCTGCATTGAAGTAGCAGGAGGATCGTGCCCTTGGCTTTTATTCATTCAGAGAAATAGTCATGAGGAAGCTTCTGCATTATCTATAACAATTGATGGCTAATGCTGGTATTCGTGGTGTTACTCAGTATCTCTTGCGTGGGGTGCAAATGTCTAGTAAATTGCTTTTCTAGGATACAGTTTCTCTCTTAAGAAAGGGTTTCCTTTCCAATAATGAGCCTTGTTTAGTCAGGATTGGTTCAGAGAAGACTTTACCTAAAACCACTCCTTTCAGTGACCAGAGCACTTACAATTCACTTTTTCCTTTTGATTTTATCTTCAGTTTCCACTTGGGTGTCCCATTCTTTTATGTCATCTCTTTGAATTGTGAGGATTGAAAAAATTAATTTTTCTAATTTTGATTTAATTTTTTGTCTCTCATAAGTGCTTACTAAATCGATAGCATTTTATGAATGAGAGGATTATTTTTATATCCTGGTGTGGTGGCTTCCCCCTACCCCCATCTTGTCTTATTTGGAAAGGATTTTCCAGCCAGTTAACCTGAATTACCTTTCTTCAAAAATAATTATATTATAAGAAATTATATTTTGTAATGAGTCTATGATTTATTTTGTGCTACTTTGTGAAGCAGACACCTTAAAATATGAAGTGCAGTGAAATCCATTATAGTTTTTATTCATCTGTCTTATTAATGCTATTGTCAAGATCTAATTAATTCCTCACTTAATAGAAACATAGACACTGTACTAATTTGGTTAATAATCACATTAAGAGTTTACAGGCATGTGAGTGAAAAAGCAACAATGCAGAGACAAGAATAGCAAAAGAGATTTGATGAATACTGCATAAAACCCAAAGATTTGTAAGTTGAAAACATAAAACTTCAAGGCTCAGTCAATTATGAATGAATGCATTGTTCATAAAATGCTGCAAATATGAGAAGTATTTAGTAGAAATACAGTTGTTGTTGCTTAGTTGCTAAGTCATGTCCCCATAACTGTAGGGGACACAATTACATGGACTGTAGCCCACCAGGCTCCTCTGTCCATGGGACTTTCCAGGCAACAATACTGGAGTGGGCTGCCATCTGTCCCTCCAGGGGATCTTCCCAACCCAGGGATTGAACCCACGTCTGTTGCTTGGCAGATGGATTCTTTACCACTGAGCCACCTGGGAAGCCCATAGAAATATAGTATGAAGTCACAAATGGTTTGTAAAATCTTAAAACTTGCAGAATCCCTACCTGCCAATACATTTGTTGCAAAGCCCTAAAAACTGCTAAGAGGATATCAGAAAAAGAGCAGGACCCTTGACCGGTATGTGAAAACACTGCACCAGGAGTTGCCTTTTAAGCAGATTGCCCATTAAGCCAATTGCCCCTCAGCCTCAGGGTGTTGGGTTTCAGTAACCACTCCTCAGGTGTCTGTTTTTCTCCTCCTCTCTTCCCTTTTCTTGTTTTCATTGTTCTCATGCATATGCATCTTTCCCCATAAATGATTAAAATCTTAGGTGGCTTAGAAATCATAAATTATACATGAAGCCATGTTCCATCCAGTCACGGGCCTGTCTCTCCTCTTGCAGAGAACAGCCCATCTTCACTACCCGAGCACATGTCTTCCAGATCGACCCCAGCACCAAGAAGAACTGGGTGCCTGCAAGCAAGCAAGCTGTCACCGTCTCCTACTTCTACGATGTCACAAGAAACAGCTATCGGATCATCAGTGTGGATGGAGCCAAGGTACCATTTCACCAGCTCATTTGAACCTTCCTAGTCACTTATTTTTCATCAAAAGCAATATGATACATTTTTAAGGTTCACTTACTGTATGTCCTACAAACATATCCAACTCTTTGTGACCCCAGTGGGCTGTAGCTGCCAGGCTCCTCTGCCCATGAAATTCTCCAGGCAAGAATACTGGAGTGGGTAGCCTTTCCCTTCTCCAGTGATATGTCTTGCAGACAGATTGTACCTTCTTTCTTCCCCCTGCGCTGTACAGCAGGTTCTGTATTTTATACATAGTAATATATGTGTGTCAATCCCAGTCTCCCAATTCATGCCACCCCACCTCTCCCCTCTTGGTGTCCCTACATTTCTCTACCTGTGCCTCTATTTCTGCCCTGCAGATAAGTTCATCTATACCATTTTTCTAGATTCCACATATATGCATTAATATACGATATTTGTTTTTCTCTTTCTGACTGACTTCATTCTGTATGACATTTAAAAGAATAGATTTCCTTGTTAGCACATTGTCTTCGTAAGTAGCATTTTAATACCGTTTTGATCATTCTACCAAGGACCTATAATGTCCTTAATCTCTCCCATTATGGGTAGATACTGAAGTAGCTTTCAGTTTTTTCACTATTATAGATAATGAGCATCTTCATGAAACAGATAACCCTGTTTGTTCATCGTGCATATTGCTTTTTTAAACAAATAAATAATTTGGCTGCTCCGGGTCTTAGTTTCTGCATGTGAACTCCTCATTGCAGCCGTGGGATCTAGTTCCCTGACCAGGGATCAAACCCGGGCCCCCTGTATTGGAAGCATTGAGTCTTAGCCACTGGACCACCACGGAAGTCCCATGCCTATTGCTTTCTTTTGGATAATTCCTTAGAACAGATTCCTAGAAGTAATGTTATAGGTCAAGATACTAACACTTTATGGCTCTTGATATGATTATTGCCAAGTGGCTTTCCAAAGAGTTCTGTCCTCTAGTATGTATGAGAATGTCAGTTTATTGCATCCCTTGCCAGCCTTAGGTATTAGATCCTGTTTGGTTTTGATGTTATTAGCCATGGGAGTTGAATTTTATTAAGTGGTTTTGGAGTATTTCTTGAAATATCTTTTTCCTGGTGTTTTCATTGTTCTGCTCTCTTCCTCAATATTTTAAATGATATTTATTTATTTATTTATTTCACTGCACCAGTTCTTAGTGGCGGCATTTAGGTTCTAGTTCCCTGACCAGTGATTGAGCCCAAGCCTCCTATGTTGGGAGCTCAGAGTCTTAGCCAATGGGCCCCCAGGGAAATCCCTTCCTCAGTATTTTGCCATATTATTATGGGAGCAGAATAAAGAAGGGTTATCAATAGACATATCATCAAGTTTACAAAAGAAAAAAGCTAGACTCAATGCTTCATAATTTCTTCTGTGTCTTTAATCTGTGTTCATCCTGATGGACATTTTCACATGGATTATCTGCTGTCACCAGAAATTCAGTGTATCTAAAGCTGAATACCCTTATTTGTCCTCTAAACCACCTCTCCATTTTCATTTCCCAGTCATTTGTTGCCAGAAAAATATTTTTAAAAAGAAAGCAAATGGAAAAGCACAGAGTCAGTTCCCTTTTAGTTGATCAAATGAAAGTCGGTCTCACGTTTATGCGTCATTCTAGATTTCAAGGCCATAACTCTTGTACTGGTACAGTCTTGCTCAGACTGTTGCAGTAGCCTTCTCACTGGCCTCCTCCTGCCTACAGTGTGTCTGGTCAGTGCTCCTAGGCAGTTGGAAGCAAGGAAGTTTTGGGTGCGGGCTGGTTGGCAGAATGGGTTCTGGCTGTGGGCTCCTCCCTCCATAACCCCCACGACCACAGAGCAGGAGGCACAGGAAGCCTCCATTGAGGGTCCCCCGGGAACGGCGCAAGAGCTCATGGTGCCCCAGATCTTTTGATGAGGCTCCCGTCTTCAGGCAAATTCTGCCTTCAGCTTAAGTTCTCTAAAGGCCTCCTTTGTACTCTCAGCATTGCTGAGGTTGCAAATAGAGGAGCTTGGCCTCGCGATCCTCTCTTCCTTCAGGCTGCCACAGCCCTTACTCCTATTTTACGGCTGAAGTCAAAGACAGGCCGTGACTGGCTGAGTTCACGCTGCTGTTGAGGCTTGATGGGCTGCTGCCTGTGCCCAGGTCCTCAGATACCAGCTCCCAGCTCTCTGAGTTAGGGCACACTTCCCCCTGCAAGCTGGGTGATCAGGTGTGGCAGGGATCCGGTGAGCACTCAGGGAGTGTGCAAGTGCCTGGCGCATAGTAGGTAGGCACCTTGTGGCTGATGATTGAGGATCTGCTTTTATTATTTTTTTTTCCTCCGGGAAACATGGTGATAATGCCATTGTGTTACCACTTTCCTTCTCTGTGCTTTTGGACTGGAATCCCATAGACTCTTGCCAGGATGTTCTATTCTAGATTTCAAGGCCATAACTCTTGTACTGGTACAGTCTTGCTCAGACTGTTGCAGTAGCCTTCTCACTGGCCTCCTCCTGCCTACAGTGTGTCTGGTCAGTGCTCCTAGGCAGTTGGAAGCAGGGAAGTTTTGGGTGCGGGCTGGTTGGCAGAATGGGTTCTGGCTGTGGGCTCCTCCCTCCATGACCCCACGACCACAGAGCAGGAGGCAGAGGAAGCCTCCATCGAGGGTCCCCCGGGAACGGCGCGAGAGCTCGTGGTGCCCCAGATCTTTTGATGAGGCTCCCGTCTTCAGGCAAATTCTGCCTTCAGCTTAAGTTCTCTAAAGGCCTCCTTTGTACTCTCAGCATTGCTGAGGTTGCAAATAGAGGAGCTTGGCCTCGCGATCCTCTCTTCCTTCAGGCTGCCACAGCCCTTACTCCTATTTTACGGCTGAAGTCAAAGACAGGCCGTGACTGGCTGAGTTCACGCTGCTGTTGAGGCTTGATGGGCTGCTGCCTGTGCCCAGGTCCTCAGATACCAGCTCCCAGCTCTCTGAGTTAGGGCACACTTCCCCCTGCAAGCTGGGTGATCAGGTGTGGCAGGGATCCGGTGAGCACTCAGGGAGTGTGCAAGTGCCTGGCGCATAGTAGGTAGGCACCTTGTGGCTGATGATTGAGGATCTGCTTTTATTATTTTTTTTTCCTCCGGGAAACATGGTGATAATGCCATTGTGTTACCACTTTCCTTCTCTGTGCTTTTGGACTGGAATCCCATAGACTCTTGCCAGGATGTTCTCACGGTGGTGAGTCAAGCTGTCTTGCTTTCTTTTATCTGTAGATCCTGTCAGTTCATCCTCCCTCCCTTGAGATGGGTTTGCACTTTTGTCAGCTGAGTTATCCAAGGATAGAGTGGGCTTAAATACAGATCAAATGACTTTCCTAGAGAAAGTGTTTTAGTCCTATTAGCTGGGCTCTGAGTAATGTGTCAGTGTGTCAGCCACTGCAGCGCACAGCTCTGCAGCTCCTGAAGCTGTGACAGTGGTGGGGTCGGAGCCAGAGGAGCCAGCTCTGAGCAATCGGATGGGTGAAGGGCCCCCACTACAGATCAGAGCTAGTTCAGGCTCAGTGTGGGGCCTCCATCAAGTTAGGAGTCACTTAAAAAGTGGGAAAGGGGGCACTTCTTTCATGGTCCAGTGGCTAAGATGCTGCACTCAACACTCCTGAGTTTGATCCCTGGTCATGGAACTAACGAAGATCCCCTCTTCACGTGCCCCAATGAAGATCAAAGATCCCAAGTGCCACAGCTAAGACACAGTGCAGCCAAAAAGAAAGTGAGAATGGGGAACTCAGGCTGTGGGGTGCCCCTGGAATCCAGCACTGGAGCCCAAGGATCTCCAGCCACCCCTCCTATGATGCCTGACCATCTGGAGTTCCAGGGGCCCACCTAGAGCTTCTGCCTAAGCAGCAGGGCACATGCAGTGTGACTGGGCCTTGTTCTGCAAAAGGGAGTGTCCTGTGATGGAGCAGAAGACCCGGGTAGTGGGAGGGGCCGGCCTTAGTTGTTCAGGGACTGTGAATGGCACTTGGGGCTGAGGGTAGGGGACGAGTGTCCTGAGAACTGGAGCACAGGATACCAGACAGGGATCCCCAGGCCTCCGCAGCCCGGCCAGACTTTTCCTGGAGCTGCTAGGCCAGTTCTAGGTCAGCTCTTGTACCTCCAGCTGCTCCACACATCAGGTGAGACATGGAGAAGAACCCCAGCATGGCGATGGCCACCACCCAGTCTTCTGCACCTTCCTCCTCCCCACCCGTGGCTGAATTCCTTAGCTCCACAGCCCCAGCCTCCGCCCTGCCCCAGTGATCCAGATGGATCTCCTTTCTTCCCAGGGACTGGAGCCAGGCACAGTATGCTGACCTGAACCAGGGTCGTGCCACTCTCGTCCACTGCCCCTCTGCATCCCACCCCTGCTTCCGGCTCCCCATCTCTGTGTCCTACCACGTCGGGACAACTCCACTTTGTTTTAGGCCTTTGCTTCCAAGTGTTATCTGAACTGCAATGACAGATGGTCAGGTGCTTGGAGCCTCAGGGGCTGTGTCTTGGCCCACGGGCTGCAGCTCTGACCTTGGGCTTCCTGTCCTGCCTCTCTCTCCTGGCCTGGCCATATCAGGTCTTGTGCTTGATGCTGCTGGGCCAGCTGTCCCTCCGCTGCTGTGGGCTGGAGGGGAAGCCTGCTCCGCCCCTCCCAGATGAAGGAGTACATACGCTTCAGGGACAGGCTGCCGGTGTGGACAGGACTCGGAGGTTGTGGTGAGCAAGGGCCACAGCCGCGGAGCCTACCATGGGCAGCCCGCAGAGCAGGGCTCCCCATGAAGGGAGGAGGTGCAGCAGCAGCTCTCACGGCTGTTGTTCGCAACGGGTACAGCGGCCCCTCTGCCCTGTCCCAACACTCGATGTGCTCTCCTTGGGGAAGGCTGCCAGGAGACCCCCTCCTTCCCCTGAGAGCCGTGGGTGCTGCTTATCATAGGAGAAACCTGTGGTCAGGCCTGTATCTCCTCCTTCCTGAAACACTATGGTGCTTGCTTCTTCTGGGGAGAGTGTTTCACACCTCAGTCACAGCTGCCCCTCAAGGCATATGTGGGTGGGAATACATAGCTCCAGCATTGCCTGGGGCCTCTGTGGATCCATTTCTGGGGAGGGAGGGCTGCCAGAAGACTGTGCTCTTGGAGGAGCAGGCCTAGTTTACCTGTGGGGTCCCAGCACCAAGCTAGAGTGGGCGACGCCATAGACGTGGGTGGGGGATGGGGTCAGGCCTGCAGGAGGTGTGCCACGTCCACAGGAGGACGAGAGGAGGGTCACCACCAAGACGGAGCCAGGGCGGAAACCTCAGCACGTCCCCCCCGGTCGGCCCTGTGCATGGACAGATGGGAGCCATGTGAGGCTACCTCCCACCTCCCAGATTCCCAGAGCCCTGATACAAGCCATCATATCACCCACAGCCACAACCAACAGCTGTGTGAGTGATGGCAAGTTTCTGCGCAAAACCTCCAACTCCATTATAGAGGAACTCTGTTCCCAGAGCATTTGTTAATTGAGCCATCGCAGTGCTTGATTTCATTGTGCTGTTGGCACTCTTTGCAGACAGCGTTAATCATTGCCATCCTTATGAGAAATTGCATTCACCCGTAGACAGGATCTGCCTGGAGCAGGTGTTTCTCCCAGGGGCTCTGGATGGCTCTCCTGCCCTTGGTTCTCAGTTATTTATAGGATCACAGAAGCCTGTATTGGAAGAGACAATAGAGGTCATCCAGTCTAGAAATATTTAGCAGCACCTGCTGTGTTCTGCCTGATCGCCAAGGTTCAGAAGATACAAGCCCTGAAACCCTGACTTGTTTGGTGTTTTCTTCTAGGAATGAAAATTGCTTTCAAGAACACAGTCAGGGTCCCCTTCACCACTCATTATTATGATTGTTGTTGTTGTTCAGTCACTAAGTCATGTCCGACTCTTTGCAACCCCCTGGACCACAGCATGCCAGGCTCCCCTGTCTTTCACTATCTCTCAGAGTTTGCTTAAGCTTATGTCCATTGAGTCAATGGTGCCATCCAACCATCTCATCCTCTGTCACCCCCTTTTCCTCTTGCCCTCAATCTTTTCCAGCATCAGGGTCTTTTCCAATGAGTTGGCTCTTCGCATCAGGTGACCAAAGTATTGGAGCCTCCGCTTCAGCATCAGTCCTTCCAATGAGTATTCAGAGTTGATTTCCTATAGGATTGACTTGTTTGATCTCCTTGCAGTCCAAGGGACTCTCAAGAGTCCTCTCCAGCACCACAATTTAAAAACATCAATTCTTGCATGCTCAGCCTTCTTTATGGTCCAACTCTCACATTATAGTTTCCTCTTTTGAATCAATGTAGACCACTTTCTATTAAGGGAACAAGTATCGGAAAGGTTCTCAACACATAGTAGGATTTCAGTGAATGTTGGTTTCTTTTTTTCCCTGACTGTGGTTTAAAATAAAAAAGAATAAAAGCATCTATTGACAGGATTTCCCTGGTGGTCCAGTGGTTAAGAATCTATGCTTCTAATGTAGGGTGCATGGGTTTGATCCCTGGTCAGGGAACTAGGATCCCACATGCCATGCACCATGGCCAAAATATTCTTTTTTAATGTTTTTTTAAAATAGTCTATTAATACCTTTTCTGGAAGCAGGCACCAGGTCTTTTAATTGTTATCAGTCATTCCCAGCCTCTTGTGGAAAATTTCTAAGTCCTTCCAGCTTCTCTCTCCTTGGATTAAGGAAAACTTGCCTTGAAAAGGAATCCAGGGGACCTGCCTCACATTTTGTGACAAGCAGCTGCCTCTGAAATCTGGAGCCAGACAGGAGACTGGAGGCACTTAGCTTTTTGCTTCTTCCGAGTACCTCTTAATGGCATGTGTTCTGTGCATTTTCTGAAAAGTTGATTTCAGGGCTCTGCAGGAATTGAGTCTTTACCAAGGAGTCTCTTTTTCCTCCATGAAAGTTTCAGAGAGAATTCACAGAAAAAGAAAGGAATAGGCATAGGGGTCGGGAATCCACATTAAAGGTTGTGCTTTAATCTTTTTTTTTTTTCTTTTTTGGCCACCCTGCAAGGCACGTGGAATCTTGTTCCCCTGACCAGGGATTGAACCCTGATTGCCTGCAGTGAAAGTGCAGAGCCTTAGCCACTAGACCACCAGGGAAGTCCCAAGGCCAGGACTCTTGACTCCCTTTTTGTACCTTTGGCCAGTAGAATCCCAGACACACGGTGAATATTCAGTGAGTGCTTGTTGCATGAGTGAGAGCACCGTGTGCTGGATCATCATTTCACCTCCGCATTCATCCTCTGCTCTTCTTCACTCTGCTCTGGTCCCCAGGGGCTGCCCTGTTGATGACATTGGAGGGCTTGCGGGGCCACTGGCTTATGGTTGGCTCTGGTGGGTGGCGGGAAATCAGAATGTTGAGGGCATTTGTCCTGTGGGCTTCCTCTCCTGGGGGTGTTCACCATGTGCTGGTGGGGCCCTCAGCAGAAGGTCACCTCTCTTGTTAACACAGCCTGTGCTCCGTGACTATCTCCTTCCACATCCCACAGCCTCTTCACTCCTTCATCCTTTATTTTTTTAATTAATTTATTTTTAATTTTGGGAGTGCACTGCGAAGTATGTGGGATATTGGTTCCCTGACCAGGGATGGAACCCATGCCCCCTACAGTGGAAGCATGGTCTTCACCACAGGACCACCAGGAAATTCCCACACCTCCTCATTCTTTAAAGCCAAGGGGCAGCGGCAACAGCTAGCCCCAGGTCCCTGCACTGTCCTTACAATCTCCATGCACCCAGCTCATACCTGCCTAATTAATCGGTCAATCAACTCTCCACCAATTATCCCAATCGGAGTGTACCTTTACTTTCCTGTGGGAAAGCAGCAAGCCACAACTGCTTGTGAAGATTTTAAATGGTTTGAGGTAGGCCCTGGGGCTCCAGGCACTTACTTAGAAAGGTGAGCAGCTGGGTTCTTCAGAGGATATGTGACTCGGCTAGCCATTAAGGACAATCGGATGCACAACAACTTTGGGATAATAAATAGCAGCTCTGGAAACTACTCTCTCCCACTGATAACTTGTGAAATCTTATTTTAGGCCACTGCCTGTTTTTAAGTCTCTAAAATTGCCCCTTATCATGGCGGTGTGTGTATGACTCAGTGTGGGATGAGCCAGAAGAGGAAGAACTCAGGACCACATGTAACAATGGGGGAGGTAGGCTTTACATACGAGCTTTGCCAACAGAGGGTGTTTTTAAGGACTCCCTTGGGTGTCTAATTCGATGTTTCAGCGTCACTCTTTGGGCTATTTCGCTGCAGGTGATCATCAACAGCACAATCACGCCCAACATGACTTTCACCAAAACGTCACAGAAGTTCGGGCAGTGGGCGGACAGCAGAGCCAACACGGTGTTTGGTTTGGGGTTTTCCTCGGAGCAGCAGCTGACAAAGGTAATCAGGTGGTCCTCCCCGCAGCACCATGAGTGCCGCTGTCCAATGCACTCTTCTTAACTCGATGCGTAATTGCCTGTCAAGGGATCTGGCACTGCCGCTGATGAGCAGGTTCCTCTGTGGCCTTCAGCCTCTCCCCTGTGGCACCGCAGGGCTGCCAGACCAGGTCCAGACCAGGTGTTAGAAATTACCAGGTTCCTTAAAAATGGAGATGTAGTTTGGAGAGGGAAAACATCTCTAAAAATGCTGCATCCCAGCCTCAGGACTAGCCTTGCCTGGTGTCCACAACCCCCCACCACCCCAGCTCCCTGCACCCAGGGTGTGTCTGACAGCCAGCAATATCAGTGACTCTATGGTTGGAGCCCACAGAGAAAGGGAGCAAGGTGATGCTCAATAAGAGTTTTGAAAGGTTTCTGCTCCCAATTTCCAACATGCATGCAGGTGGCGGGGGTGTTTCCTACAGCACCAAGCAGTTCTCAGGCTCCCGTGGGGTGTCCTGCAGTGCACCTTAATTCTGACACTATTTACCTGGAAGTAGTGCCTGCTCCCACAGGTTTAGGACTCAGTCCTACGAGAACCCCCCCCCTTCAGACTCCCAACTGTCACCTGTGTTTCTGACTGACCAGCAATAGATCAGGGCTTCCAGTGACCCCCTCCTAAGGTTTAATTAATTTGCTAGAGCTGCTTATAGGGATTCCCTCATAGCTCAGTCAGTAAAGAATGACTCAGGTTCAATTCCTGGGTGCGTAAAATCCCCTGGAGAAGGAAATGGCAACCCACTCCCATATTCTTGGCTGGAGAATCCAATGGACAGAGGAGCCTGGCGGGCTACAGTCCATCGGTCACAAGAGTCAGACACGGCTTAGCGACTAAACCAGCATCAGCACCAGAGCTGCTTACAGAGCTCAGAGAAGCGTTTTACTTACCAGGTTACCAGTTTATAAAAGGGTGTATGTCAGGAACAGTTGGTTGAAAGAAATGTTGAGGACAAGGTGCGGGGGAAGGACAGAGCTTCCACACCCTCTCTGAAACGTGCAGCTCTCCCCATATCTCTCGGTGTTCACCCACCTGGAAGCTCTCCAAACCCCATCCTTTTGGAGTTTTATGGAAGCTTTATTAGCTAGTTGTGATTGATTACATCATCCACCTTTGGTGGTTGGTTCAGCCTCTAACCCTCTCCTCTCCCCAGAGGGACTAAAAGTCCCCCCCACCCCCACCTCCATTCATGATTGGTTTCCCTGGCAAATGGCCCGCATCCTTAGGTCCTTTTCCGAAGTCACCTCATTGACATAAACCCGGTTTTGATGGAAAGGGGCTTGTTCTAAATCACAAGACACCCATTTCACCCCTATGGCTCTGAACTCAGAACTGACGACAAGAGACCAAATATTATGACAAAAGATGCTCTCACTGCCCAGGAGCTATGAGTCAGGAACCGTGGAGGAAGACCAATATGTGTATTTCTTGTATGTCACAATGTCACAAGTTCTTACCCTGAAGTCCCCACAACCCTTCAAATGTCACCCAATGTTCTGTGTGTGTGTTGCTGTTTTTTTTAGGGAAAGGGTTCATAGCTTTGCTTTGATGGTCCAGGGGATCTGGGGCACTGACTATGGATGGTTAGAAAGGTGTTGAGGAGCCAAGCAGGCTGACCACAGACAGAATACTGAGGACTGAGGGAACAAACTGCCCACCTCTAAGAGGCCTCCCCTGGCTGATTGAAGGGCCAGCAGCTTGATTTAGGAGAATAGGTTTTCCTGTAGGATGGTGGAGAGCCCTGTGTAGGTGTTGAGAATGTACCGGTTAAAAGCAAGACTGCCTGGGGACTCCCTGGTGGTCCAATCGTTAGGACTCCCCGCTTCCACTTCAAGGGACACGGGTTCTATCCCTGGCCAGGGAACCAAGAGCCCACATGCTGCAGTATGGCCAAAGAACAACAAAACAAAACAAAAAGAAAGACTGCTTAGTTTGTGTGACACAAGAATTTACTGGAAGAATATCAGAGGATCCAAGAGAGAGTTGAAAATCTGAGAAGGGCTGGAGCCAGGCTGGCTTTGGGCAGCTCGACTCCAGAACTTGTTTCTCACCCATTGCCTTGACCATCTGACTGGCCGCTGGGCAGGTGTTCATGGAGCTCCTGCTGTGCCGACACCGAGCTGGGCCCCGAGGATGCAGAGCGGGGGTCCTGTCGCCAAGTGCCTTAGAGTCCCAGATGCCTGGGGAACCGACAGGGCTGTTTAGTGCAGACTGGGCTGCTCGGGTTCCCTGTGCACATGAGTGTGACTTTCATAGGGCGGGACTGAGATGAGTCAGGAAGCCACCGTGAAGGGACTTGCTAAATGCACCTTTCGTTTGTCCAGTGCGCGTGCGTGTGTGTGTGTGTGTGTGTGAACACCACATATACACACATGGACATTCTAAGGAAGCCTCCAAACCCAGCACCTACACCCAGCCACAAACGAGTCCCCTGACGAAGGGCACACCACAGACTGTGTTCCTCTGCGTCCCAGCTACTGAGGACGCTGCTCCTAGAAGCCCAAACCCCAGATGGCCTGGTAGCACTCTGCACATTCTCTTATTCCAGCCCCTCATAGAAGCGTTCTCTCCTGGGTACTAAAGTCTCCAGATCTCCAGGGCTCAGCATCATGGGGCAGGAAGCAGAAACCCAAAGGGTAGCTCATGGGGTGTAAACATGGGAGGTGTCATCTCCACCTCTGGTCCCTCAGTCTCTGGACCATGGCCCTGGGGAGACGCCCCATCCCACGGGCCTGCATGATGCTGTGTTCTAGCAGGCAGCACGGCAGAGTTCTGGAAGGCCTGCTGCTTCTGCTGATAGGGTTCGTGGGAGGATTGAGAATTCTGTGGTGTGTAGACCTTGCTTCATTTCATTTGTAGAGAAGCTGTTTGGTTGTTTGGAGGTGGTGCTGCATGGTACAGAAGGCATTAAGTCAGTCTAAGGGTCATGGGGCCAGGAGGCCTGATGGTTCAAGTCCATGTCTGTTTTCTGAGGGTAAATCACTATGTGCTCTGGAGGAAGGGCCTGGTGCAGTCAGCTTTCCCCAGGGAGCTTCCTGGTCACTTCGAAGTGTGATGCAGAATCTGGGCCTCAGGGTGGGTCACTGTTGTTGGCAGTTGACACTCGGCAAGGCCAGAAGTCAGAGGGCCATGGGGAGGAGGAGGTGTTGTCAAGGCCACAGTTCTCTCCCTGGCACCAAGGCCAGTGTGTCCATAACCTTCTGAGTAAGTGCCTGGGGAAGAGAATGACTGGGTGTCCATAGAGCAGCTTTCCTGTCCCTAGTTCTCAGGATTCTCTTTGCTGAAGGGCAGGGGCTTCAGAAAAGCATGGCCTTAGTCTGTTCAGTCTGTTGTCACAAAACACTATAGACGGGTGTTTAAACAGCAGCCTCTCACAGTCTTAGAAGCTGGAGTCTGAGATCAGGGTGCCAGCATGGTCAGGGTGAGGTGAAGGCCCTCTTCTGGGTTGCAGACTTTCAGCTTCTCATTGGAAAGAGGTCAAGACCGCTCTCTGAGGTCTCTTTTATAAGGGCACTCTTCCCATTCATGGAGACTCCATCCTGTGCCCCAGTCACCTCTCAAAGGCCCTGCCTCCTAATCATCACACTGGCGATTAGGATTTCCACCTGCGATTTTGAGGGAGAACACAGACTTTCAGTCCATTCATTGCAGGCATTCATGGGGAAGGTGAATATCTCTAGCCTCTGGCTCCACTCGGACCCACTGTTGTAGCCATTTCCCAAATCTCTTTGTCACTAACCCTTCAGCTTGGTTTCTTCCCAATAGCTCCCATCAAACTTGGCCCTCACCCGTGTCCCCAGGGCTCAGTGTAGATCCCAACTCCAGGCCACCTCTGCTGTGCACACCAGGCAATGAGATGTTCAGATCACGCCACAGGGAGCATTTCCCTTTCCCTCCATCCTCCACACAGCAGAAGGAACACAAGCAAAATCCTGACACTGTGTGAGGGAAGCTGCAAACGGTCCACTGTTGACAGGGCACCCAGGTTTGGGGGGTGGGCAAGGCTGACTAGAGGCCAGCTTTTGAAAGGGCCTTCTGTGCCATGCCAGAGTCTCTGGACTTTATCTCACAGCCTGTGAAAGACTTTAAGCCAAGAAAGAAAATGATCAGATTTGCACTTTAGGTAGGTTTTTTTTTTTCTGACTTCAAGACAGATTAGCTTGTTTTCATCCAGATCAGAGATGAGGAGGGCTTGCATAAGAGCTGGAGAGATTTAAGAAATATTGAGGAGCTAAAGTGGCAGAACTTGGTGAGAGGATGTGGGAGGCAGAGTCTGTGGGGTGGTGATGGATGGACGATGTGATGCCATTTTCTGAAATGAGGCAGAGGAACAGGTGCTGTGAGGATCTGAGAAAATTTCTATAAAGTGGAAGCAAGTCTGATGGTGATTTGTTGAAAGAATCATTAACCAGAACGTCTGTCGGAAGTGGCTGGTAGGGATTACATGCCTTTTCCCTCTGAAAAAGTGCCTGGTGGAGAGAAGTGGGGTGGCGGAACAACACCTGCCCTGCCAAGTGTCTCCTATCCAGGCTGAGAGGGCTGGAAACCTCACACTACTGGGGAGGGTCAGATGGGGTGGCTTCTGTCAGAGACAGAGTCCTGTCTGGGCCCTCCTCTTTGGCTCACCAGCCCCTGATCCCACCCAGAGCTGGAGTTTTCCACAGAAGCTTTGAGGGTTACCCTCAGCTGCCTAGAATAACTTCTTCAATCTTTGGAGGACTCAGAGTAGCTAGGAAGGACAAAGGGGGAACGTTTCAAAGAAAAGAATTGAAAGAAGGGAGAATTCAGAAGAAAAATGAGAAGTGGTTAAAGTTCCATTCTTTGTGCCTCTGAGAACTGACCTTGGTCTGTGCCTGCATCCAGGCGTGGCCACTTCTAATTTTTCCCAGATGGAAGAAAACGTCCTGTCATTGAAGAGGAGTGCCCTGTCACCCCAAGTCACCCGGTCTCCTCCAGCGGCATCG